GCATTGGGGCCATTGATGGGACTCATGTATTTGCCAAAGTTCCAGCCAAGATGCAAGCTGCATTTAGGGGTAGAAAGAATGCCCCCACACAAAATATGCTAGCAAAGCAGATTAGCTTTGACTTGAAATTTACCTATGTCTTTGGCGTTTGGTTGGGAGGGATCACTCATGATGCCACAATTCTTGCTGATGCATTACAAAGAGAGGATGGGTTGAGGGTTCCACCTGTAATTAAATCAAGCTGTGATAATAAGAAGCAAATGTAAGCGCAAAATGATGAATCTAATTGAACTCCACATTTGTTTTAGGCAAATTCTTCTTAGTAGATCTTTGGATATGCTTGTCGGCTGGATTTGTTCCTCCTTATCGAGGTTGTAGGTACCATCTTAAAGAATATGGGAATAGGAACTACCCAACCAACCCAAAAGAGTTGTATAATTTGAGGCACTCTAGTTTGAGAGTAACTGTAGAAAGGGCATTTGGGGCTCTAAAGAACCGTTTTCGCATCATTGACATCAACAAACCATTCCATCGCTTGAGGACACAAATCAAGCTTGTGCTTGCATGTTGTATAATGCATAACTGGATCCTTAGTTTTGGGGTTGATGAGGTTATTCTAGAAGAGTTCTCTTGGGTACCAAATGACACAAACAGTCAGCCCCATCCTGCTCATATGGATGACAATGCTGCCTAGGCACTTCAGAGGGATGAATGGGCTAATCACATGTGGGCTAATAGGGGTCTTTCTAGAATCTAGAGTTCTATTATGTATCATTAAGTTGCCTGTACTTCATTTTATTCATGGACAAATGATGTTTTTTCCTGTGATTCTACACTTGATCTGAGACTTTGGGCATGTGCAATGATGTTTTTTTCTATGATACTACACTTGATCTGAGACTTTGGGCAATAGCAATGATGTTTTTTTCTGTGATACTACACTTGATCCGAGACTTTGGGCATGTGCAATGATATTTTTTTCTATGATACTACACTTGATCTAAGACTTTGGGCAATAGCAATGATGTTTTTTTCTGTGATACTACACTTGATCTGAGACTTTGGGCAATAGCAATGATGTTTTTTCTGTGATACTACACTTGATCTGAGGCTCTGGGCATGTGCAATGATGTTTTTTTCTATGATACAAAACACCTGTGCTGAGGCTCTGGGCATGTGCAATGATGTTTTTTTCTGTGATACTACACTTGATCTGAGGCTTTGGGCATGTGCAATGATGTTTTTTTTCTGTGATACAAAACACCTGTGCTGAGGCTCTGGGCATGTGTAATGATGTTTTTTTATGATACTACACTTGATCTGAGGCTTTGGGCATGTGTAATGATGTTTTTTTTCTGTGATACAAAACACCTGTGCTGAGGCTCTGGGCATATGCAATGATGTTTTTTTCTGTGATACTACACTTGATATGAGACTTTGGGCAATAGCAATGATGTTTTTTCTGTGATACTACACTTGATTTGAGACTTTGGGCAATAGTAATGATGTTTTTTCTGTGATACTACACTTGATCTGAGGCTCTGGGCATGTGCAATGATGATGTTTTTTCGTGATACAAAACACTGTCTTTGAGGCTCTGGGCATGTGCAATGATGTTTTTTTCTATGATACTACACTTGATCTGAGGCTTTGGGCATGTGCAATGATGTTTTTTTCTGTGATACAAAACACATGTGCTGAGGCTCTGGGCATGTGTAATGATGTTTTTTTCTGTGATACTACACTTGATCTGAGACTTTGGGCATGTGCAATGATATTTTTTTCTATGATACTACACTTGATCTGAGACTTTGGGCAATAGCAATGATGTTTTTTTCTGTGATACTACACTTGATCTGAGACTTTGGGCAATAGCAATGATGTTTTTTTCTATGATACTACACTTGATCTGAGGCTCTGGGCATGTGCAATGATGTTTTTTTTCTATGATACAAAACACTTGTGCTGAGGCTCTGGGCATGTGCAATGATGTTTTTTTCTGTGATACTACACTTGATCTGAGGCTTTGGGCATGTGCAATGATGTTTTTTTTCGTGATACAAAACACCTGTGCTGAGGCTCTGGGCATGTGTAATGATGTTTTTTTCTGTGATACTACACTTGATCTGAGGCTTTGGGCATGTGCAATGATGTTTTTTTTGTGATACAAAATGTCTTTGAGGCTCTGGGCATGTGCAATGATGTTTTTTCTTTTATACTACACTTGATCCGAGGCTTTGGGCATGTGCAATGATGTTTTTTTCTGTGATACAAAACACCTGTCTTTGAGGCTACGGGCATGTGCAATGATGAATTAGGCTATATTTGAGGAGATGATGCCTCATTGATGAGGTTGTGTTCCTTGGACTGGATGGTGGTCTTTTGACTGGTGACAATGTGGTTCTTTGGGGATGATGTGGACTGGTTTCATACCAAGATCACAGAACTCCTTTCGTGAGAGGACCTCTCCGAGGTGGGGTGAGCCCATATGCGCCTTTGTCTTTGAAAGCGGATGTGCTGACTCATTACCACTAGAGTGAGGACTGATAAGGGCTTCAAAGAAGTGCACCTGAACAAGGTGGCAAAGGCCCTGCAAGAGTTCTGTGGTCATGAAGTTAGTGGTACCTAGGTGTACAACCACCTGAGGAAATGGAGGTAGAGGTGGGTGAAACTGTCCAAGCTGAGGGACCTTAGTGGAGCTCAGTGGGATGAGGACAACTGCATGATTGTTCTTGAGGAGGAACACTACAATGGTCATACCAAGGTGAGCAAGAACTGTGATACTACAACTTGATTTGTTAGATGACTCTTTGAATCATTTTGTCATTATGGCTAACAAGGGACAGCTTCATTATGTAGGACCACCCCAATGATGCTCCACGCTCAACAAGCCCATACAACACTACAAGCGAGATGATGGTCATCTTTGCCAATGGTCGTGCAACAGCAAGTGGGCTATGGGCTCCAATGAGCCACTTGGCACACCATCTCGACCGTGTCTTTGAGAGCTCACCAAAGATCGAGATCTGAGCAGTGGCAAGACTGTGACTCTGAGGATACCAAGAGTGAGGGAGGAGTTGGTAACAAGAGGAAGAGATCCATGTTGGCGAGTAAGAGGATGTTGTTACATTCCTTTGGCATGGCGAGAGGCGATGAAGGATGTTGCTGATGCTATTAGGTCGACCAAGGTTGAGGATTCCCACCCTGAGCTGTATGGTGTTGTTATGTTTGTGCCAGGCTTCGCTGATGAAGCAATGATGTGTGCTTATGGCCATCTGCTGGACAACAAGGCCTTAGGTTCAGCTTTTGTCAAGATGTCTGACTCCCACCGTGAGTTGTGGCTAAGGACCTACTTGACCAAGCACTACTACATGTGAAGGCTTCACAGCTTGAGGTTGATCCTTTTGTGCAATGCCTGCATTATTATGGTGGTCTTCTGATGCAGTGCATGTCCCTGTGCAGTGGTGGCCTCTTTTGTGCATACCTAACTATAGCTGGTGGATGTGTAGTGGGTTGACCTTCTCTTTTGTGCAGTTGATCTGATCCTGCATAGCTTACTTACTAACACTAACATATAGTTAGTGTCTTAGATAACCCTGCACCTACAACCTAGATCAACCTAGTGGTGGCAATCTAACCATGAGTCCATTGCCAAAGATGTGAACCTTGTGGTTCTGAACTTGATATGGGCACCAGCCTGTGCCTGTGATTTGCACAATTTCATTATGAGCACTTGCCTTATTGCCTGTGATGTTTGTTTTCTTATATCTGAGCACATGCCCATTGCCTGTGATGCTTGTTTTCTTATACCTGAGCCTGCATTCTTTACCTAGCTGGTGCATCTCTTTTTGCCTGTGTTGACATTGATGTGAACTTGATGATCTGAGAACTAATCTGATCTTGTTTGCCAATGATGTGACCATTTCAATATGAGCTTTTGTCTAATGCCAATGATGACGTTTTTTAAAACTAAGCACATGCCTTGTGCCAATGATGAGGTTTTTTTATATATACTGAGCACATGCCTTATGCCAATGATGTTTTGGTTTATTATACTGAGCACATGCCTTATGTCATTGATGAACTTTAATTTTTGTTTGTCATTCCATGGTTTAAAGGCTGAAGAAAAAATGAAGCCGATGGTATGTTCGTAGTGGAGCATGCGGTATGCATTGCAAAGAAGGAAGGTCACAGCTGAAAGGATATTATAATTTTAGTGGAGGGTGTAATAATATTAGCCCGGGCTTTAGTAATTTTAATTTAGCTTTCCAAAATGATGTAATATTCATTGCAAACAAAGTGTTGTACCAAACTTTGGACTTATTGGTGGTAACCTTACCATTAAAACAAAGTGGTAACTTCACCAGCTTCTATGCAGGCAACCAAATATGGTTCCTGCATCCTCTTAATTTGAATCCGATGCAGGTTCAGGGAATCAAACACCGGCTATATATGACCAGGCTGCCTGGTCGAAGGGGGCCTGGCTGGCTGATGCGAGCCAGGCTGGGCTGGGAAGTGAACCAAACACGCCCTTCGTGTCCATCACTCCATACGGACGACGCGGCGCGGACGCTTTCAGAGAAGCGCTGGTGCAGGTGAGCGCGCGTACTCCGCACGGTCCTTGGCGCACGAAAACACCACCGAGTGGGACTGGGATCCCGTGTCCCTCCGGTTTCGTTCACCCCCACTTTGCGTACCGAAACCACCCCTCCGTGTCGCGAATGGCTCAGCCCGCACGGCAATGCCGCAAGGGCAATCTCGTAACTTCCCTCGAACACCCGCTTCCTCTCCCTATCCTCCTCGCCTTCGCCTAGATTCCTATCTCCACCGCGTTCGGGCTCCTCCCAACACCAGCCCCGCAGAACCAAACCCTAGCTGCGCTTCCTCCTCCAGATCCCGGCGCCCCGGACCCATGGCCGCGCTCGTTCCTAGTTCCAGCCTCTCTGCCCGGCGCCCCTCCGCGCTCTAGCTCCGGATCGCCCGCCCGCGCACCCAAAGCCATGGAGCCCGCAGCCGCAGCCGCCGCGCCGGACTCGTGGGAGACGGCCGACATCGACGGGCCCATGAGCCGGCTCATCCTCTCCGCGCGCCGCGTGTCCTCGTCGCCCGACCTCGCCGACGACCAGGACCCGCCCCAGCCGCCGCCCACTCTGCAGCCGCAGGGCGGCCCACCTTCCTCGGCTCCCTCGGCTGCGCGCGAGGATTTGGTCGCCCAGGTCGATCAGTTCCTGCGGGAGGCCCTCGAGAAACCAAGGGAGAGGCTTTCTGGTAAAATTCACGCCTCCTCCGGAGTTAGTTTACCAATGGATTTGTCTTTTATGCTTTGATTCTACTAACTTATTGATGATTGGGTGACGAAAAGGTCAGCTTAGGCTTCGTGCAGAGTGTTCCTTGCTTGTTTTGAGATGTAAGCAGGTGGCTGGCTGCTTTATTCATAGGGCATGTGGGTATATATGTTGTATCCTTGTACTTATATGCCGTGTGCTGTCTTTATGTACTTCACCCCATATGGCTTGCTACTATAGCGAGGTAGCTAGGTATCAGGAAAATGTGACTGATGTATTCCATGCATCTTACGTCCTTTTAATATACGCTAACATGCCTGGCCCTAAGGATAAGAGATTTATACAACCATCAGATAGTAAGATTCTGTTCCAAAAAATATGAATTGCAAGAGTGTTTGTTCCAAACAGCTAGTGCATCTGATGGTGGCGGGGTTCTACTACTGTTCATCTCAATTATCATCAACTGGAACTTTTCAATTTGATTGTTCCATTGCCTAATGCTTTAATTGACAAAATGCGCGTAGTCCTTGTATTTGACTCTAGTCTATTCCTTTCTGCAGTGCTAAGAATGGAGCAAGAAATTTTGAAGTTCATTCGTGACCCTAGGCGTACAGAGTATGATTTCAATGGTCTTCCAACTTCGTATCTGCGTCTCGCTGCACACCGCCTGGCGCAGCATTACTTCCTGCAGTCCATTGCCATACCAGACAACAGTTTGCCTGATGGAACTGGTTCGCGTATCATCCTCCGTAAGACATCATCCGAGTGCCGACTGCCTGCTGTCCGCCTTGCAGATATTCCAGTTAACCTGCCACAAGAAGAAAACATCTCTGTGGCGAAAGTAGCTATTAAGCAGAGGCCTCAAAAGAATTTCCATGGCATGAACAGCTCAAGTGCTCACTCATCTAGAGAGAACCTCCAGAAAAGCGTCGAAGAAAGGAAAGAGGAATACAACAAGGCACGAGCGCGGATATTTAACAACAGCAATAGCAGTAATGCTACTGATGGGAGATCAGCTGAGGAAGTGACTTTACCCAGTACTCTTCACAGGTCCTCTTCCTTGGAGTTGAACTCAAGCAATAGAATGGGCCAAGAGGCTGAAATTACTCTCGAGAGGAGCTTGACTACCACTTCAGCTAGCAGCAGGTCAAATAGAAGCAAGATTGATAAGGAGCCTGCAGTCAATAGAAACAGGCAGAACAATAGGGTTGCAATTTTCAGAGACCGTGAGTCAGAGCGCAAGGATCCTGATTATGACAGAAGCTATGACAGGTCAGTTTCTTTTCTCGTAACACATCTCTTTGCTGCTATACTCCTAGCGCACCCTGAACAAGAAAGCTTTTATGGTTATTTTTACCATGCTTCTCCTCCGATAGTTTCTTATGCATTGTATGTCACTGCCTTTTAAGTTTAGTGAAGTCCTACTTCATTTAACTATTGCCCTAAACTTTTGAAGTCTAACTGGAAAATATCAGTTTGATTGCTAATGATGGGATGCTAGTGAAACATGGCAATAAGAGGATCATTTCTTTTTATAGGAAACACTAAATCTTGTGATGTACTTATTTTCTATGAAGTTGGTTAAGCTAGTTCGGATTACATGATACCTTTTTCTGTTCATCATGTTCACTGTGGTAGACATACTTGATCCCTAGAAATTCTTTTTACTCACCATGAGTGACTTGTACAGGTATATGCAAAGATTTGATCCTGGATTTGGATTTAGTGGAGGTCCATACACAATTCAACCCCTGTATGCCCCTGCTGTTAACTACAACACTGAATTTCCCCAGCTTGGTTCAGCACACCGATCACCTGTTGCTGTCGAACAGCAACCTCGTCCAATAGCTCAGCACATGCCTGCGTCATGGTCAGCGGCTCAAGCATGTAATGCAATTGGCTATGGGCCAGATGGTGTCATGGGACCTTATAGCCATGGCCATACTGGTGCACCTGTGAGATCGTCTGTTTTCATGCATGCTTCACAGCAATATGGCATACCTTCACGCCCTGGAGTCCCATTTGTACATCCACAGGAATCCATGGGACCATTTGCACAGGTCTGTATATGCATTTTTTTTTCATCCTATGTGATTCCTTTCATCCTTTGTTGATCATACTGAGTTGATATCTGCTTGAGTATTATTATACAAGCTTATATTATAGAAGCTTATGAAATCACAGTATATGGTTGGTATTCAATATAATGGCATCATATGTTCCTAGAAATCCTATTGCATTATATGTTGTACTCTGGGAGTATTTAACTTTGAATGAATTGAAACTCCTGAGATGCACTAGTTAAATTTGCTTCTTGTCTAACAGATTTTTTTTTTATTGGTTCAGACTCACCAACAACAACCTGATGCTAGTTTGCGCTTTGGCCGGCCCCGGTGAGGGGCCCGGGTATGCCTGCACCTGCCAGTGTGCAACGAACACATTATCCTTTGTTTTGCTGGCAGATGGTTGCAGGCATAAAAGAACTGAGAGGCATAAGGCAGAGTCAGCCATCCTTTTGATATTGTCAGCCTGTGCGCACTCTCAGTGTAGTTGCTCCCTGCATACTGAGTTGCAGGAGGGGCACTTTATACTCTGTTCTCCTTTAAACAGAAGCCACTCGAGGTTTATTGGACAAACCCTCTAGTCCAATCCACAAGAAGCTGAGAGGTGAAGGGTGGGCTGTGGGGCCACCTGCATGCCCCTTTCAGCTTCATTCTTGGCGCTGTTGCTTGCTCCTCACAGATTGAGATGCTGGAGGAGCACATCTTGCCCTCATTGAATGGGCTCTGTTGTCAAAGGACTTATGATGATGATGAAAGATTGGGATTGTGCAGTGCGCGGATGATCAGTGAGGGGAAGATTGGGACGGTCCAGTATGTGAACGGGCTACAGGGATGTGGGTTAGTGCAATTCTCACTTTTGTTTTTGATTAAAACTTGGTCCTCTTGGCACTTATAGTAATGAAGACGAACCACATGCAGCTTTTAGCCCCATTGCCGATGGGATGGTTGCCGGGTTGAGCTCAGGTGGCATGAAGACGATGTTGGTTCTTGCTCTGCCTAGTGCGGGCGTGGCACCATTCTTGGTCAGGTTTAGAAACAGAGTCATCTCTATCGCAGTTGCTGCTCACGTTGCTGGTGTTTTAAGTTATTTCTAGTCAGTGCTGTGTTGTAAATCAATCAGTGTTAGTTTGAGTGACCAAACCAATTTCTTGTACATGACAAGCAACGATTCTACTAGTTGTTAAGATGATGACGAATCATGTATGCCTCAGTGACAGGCCTGTTTACTACAGTGCATTGGTGTTGGAGCAATCTGATGCAGTGCTTGCATGCCAATTCAAGCAACTGATATTTACTAATAGTTACAGATAATTGGAAGTGGAAAATGACGAATATATGTATGAACAATTGAAATTCTGTCAAAGAAGAATGACAAGGCCTTGTTTACTACAAAAGATGCATTGGTGTTAAGTGAGCAATCTGAGTTTGGCCCCCACGTAGCTCCGTCCGTGATCTGATGGTCTTCCATCTGTGTTTATACTATGGTTGTGTGTTTTACCTCGATCGTAATAGGTAATTCATTAAGGTTTCACCATTCCTTTTCAAAAGCAAATTCAAATTAGATATTGCTGGAAACTAATAATATAACTTTGGAAAAATCAAAATGAAGCTGTCTGTTTGGGGGCACCTTGATTTCTGTAGCGCAGCATGCATACATCGGAACGAACAATCAATAATTTGCATGCCACATTCTCACATTTTCTATGTTATGTTGATTCGTTGAAATGAAATAAACTAAAAGATTATGAGTTCAAAAAAGTAGTTTTTTTTACTACACGCGCAAAATTATTTTGTACGAGAATTATTTTGAGCCACAAAATCTCTTCTCTAATAATGACTTCCTAGGGAAAACCAAGAGCACAAGAGCTCTGCTATAAACGGCTTTACCCACGAATGTTGACTACGAATAAGAAAGCTGTTTTATAGAGAAGGAAAAAGTCCTCATGACTGTTAATTATTGGATAGTACATTTTACCTCCAACAAATATAAAATCGGATGTTTACACTCGTCAAACTATTGAAACCGTTCGATTTACTTCCCTGAGTGGTTTTGAAAGTGGTTTTGACACTCCATGACAATCATCCTACGTGGCATCGCTTCAGCAATGAGTGAGGTGAATCGAACTTTCACGATAGTTAAGGTGGGCCACTTAGACTTCTTTAAAAAGCTATAGAAATAAATTTTCAACAAACTATCCAAATATTTTTTAGAATAAATATGCATTGAAAAATACTAAAAATCTGATTTAATACGAGAAAATAAATTTTGTTTTAACTCAAACAAATATGAAACCACTTTTATATTTTTCCTAAAATCAGGCTCTACATTTTTCTTTCTTGCTTAGAATTATTTGAATCTTATATGATCTTCTAAAATTAGAAACTAGCCAAATATGAAATGAAGGATGCAAACATAAAGGCAAATTCTCGCATACCGCAACATGAATGACTACGCAACCATTGTGCAAACTACAAAAAACATTTTCTCTGCAACAGTATCTAGCTTAACCATCGAGACATGCATGGGAAATTTTAAATAAAAAATATAATCCAAGCTCTGATTGCTCATTAACAACATGTACCATGTGGTTTAACTTTGTGGTATTGTCTTCTTAGGGGACATCACAATGATGAGATGTGCAGAATGATTGGACCATCAATAGCCATTGACATGATTTCTCAGACTCTAGACGTCTATGACTTGGTTGACAACACCTGGACGGACGTGACTGCTTCCTCATTCATCATCATCGGCGTAGGTCTGCTCATGCATTGTGAGCACATGATCGAGTAGAAAGTCAGTTTGGATGGGCTTGGGATGTTGGACTTCATATATCTCTTAAAATCATGCTCTATATTCCTAGTTCCGAAAAAACATAGAGAATGATTTTAGGGAAAATATAAAACAAGTTTCATATTTTTTGAGTTAAAATAATTATTTAACATTAAATCAGATTTTTAGTATTTTTAAATGTATATCTATTCTAGATAAATATTTAGATAATATTTTGAAAATTTATTTTTATATTTTTTAAAGTCTAATTAACCTCCCTGAAGTATCATGAAAGTCCAATTTACCTCGCTCGGTGTTGACGTGACGCTACATAAGTCAAAACCGCTTTCAAAGCCACTCAGGTATGTAAACCGAACTATTTCAATAGTTTGAACACAAACACGCTAAAGGAGGTAAATCGGACTATTCCAATAGCTCAGGGATCAGGAGGACTTTTTCCTTTAGAGATGGCTATCGAATCGGCCCAATATATTTAGCCCGTTATATTTCAGCCCACAAAAGGCCCAGGACCAATCCACTGGAATTGAGAATCACATCGGACGGCTAGCAGCGCCGCAACAGGCGAGGAGGAGGATGCATCGGCGTCCTCAAATACACAATTTGTTGCTCCAGGTTTTCGGCATCTCTCTCCTCTCCTCTTCTCGCGCCGGCGCCGCATTCTTATCCTGCCCCAAGCCCTAGCAGCACTGCAGCAGGTACGCGTCCGCCTCTCCTCTTCTTTCGCTTCTGATCCTTTTTCGTCAGCTCTCAAATGTCCAAGGCGTTTGTCTTTCTCCTGTGTTAACCTTACGATCTGTCTGGGTTTTCTTGTGTACAACAGCGGATCGGCAAGCAGCCATGAGGTACCTACCCACCATCGATCTTTGGACCCATTCTTCCTCTCCAATTTTTGTTGCACTTACCGTCTGTGCTCTCATGATAGTCGCGTGCTATGAGTTTTCTGTGATTACCTCGTTGACGTAGTATCCCGCTCCGCTCTATTCTGAGAATACAGCGTCTCTTTTACCCATAACAATTTTATTTGTGTGCGTAAAGATAAGAGTTCGTACATGATGAGAGAAGTTGTGAAAAATTATGGAATTAGATTGACAAGAGGTTGGTGGCGTGATCATTCTAGATGTTCTTCTTGAATCATGATACAAATGTGTACTATTGTACCGTGTTAGACTGCTCCATAGTCCATAGCTTCTGAGTGCTGATTTCCAGTAATTAAATGCAGCTGAGCTCCTTTTACCAGTGTAATAATCCATCACCAGCTGCATTGTGAGTAGTCGTCACTGTTAACTTGTTAAGTTGCCGGCGATTTTTGTGTTTTGCACACCACATTCACTTCATCTTTGACACACTGCAATCTTTTTGACACCTGCGCTCTACTTTGCAGTAAGTTGCAAACCGAGGCCCTCAAGGACGCAATCTCCCAGGTCGTTGCGGAGGCTAGGGAGAAGAACAGAGGAGGTTCACAGAGACCATCGAGCTCCAGATTGGGCTGAAGAACTATGATCCGCAAAAGAACAAGCGTTTCAGCGGCTCCGTTAAGTTGCCCCACATCCCTCGCCCAATGATGAAGGTCTGCATGCTTGGCGATGCGCAGCATGTGGAGGAGGTACCTCTCTTACGGCGCTGCTGTTGGTTCATCCTTTTACTTGGCCAAATATATCATTATTATTGAACTATGATTGTCAATACTGTGGTAGAACCTCCTTACCTCGCTGTTGACTATTGTGCAATGAGACCAATCTTTTTTACTTCCTGTTGAAATCGAGATGTTTGAAACAGGATCATAAATCTTCGATCTTTTAGAAACTGTCTTCTGTGTAAATTTTTATTTTGTTTTTGTTCTGATGATGTCGTGCTTGTGTATTCATTTGTTTGCAGGCTGAGAAGATCGGTCTTGATTACATGGATGTTGAATCTCTCAAGAGGATGAACAAGAACAAGAAACTTGTCAAGAAGCTTGCCAAGAAGTACCATGCTTTCTTAGCATCTGAGGCTATTATCAAGCAGATTCCTCGTCTCCTTGGTCCTGGTCTTAACAAGGCAGGCAAGTATTCTGATCTGTCATCTGCTGGCTGTCACCATTCATAATTAGAATGACTGTTGCACTTGACAGTTAGAATGAGCTTATGTTCATGTTGCTATCTGCCCTGTACATGCCTGCTATTGTTGTTAATTATATGATGGTAATTTTGCCATTTTTCTGTAAGAAAAAGTATCTTTTAGCCTTTTGTGAGCACGACTTCAGTTACGTGTGTGGCATTCCCTAACCATACTCATGAATATATGTCTGGGAACTTTTTTTGTACAGCATAGCTGGTATGTTGCAAGATTATGTACCTTGTTGGTTGTAGCGACTCCACATGATATGCCAAACTTGAAACCCTCTGTTTTGTACTATATGGTCTACATCTTTTTAGCTAGCACTATATCATGTTAGGTTCTGTATGTGATGAGGAACGAGTTTTTATCATATCATAGTCACATTTGATATCCTGGTGTTGACCCTGGTTATTGATAATTGTTTCAATGTCATCACAGGCAAGTTCCCAACTTTGGTTACTCACCAGGACTCCCTGGAATCAAAAGTAAATGAGACGAACGCTACAATCAAGTTCCAGCTCAAGAAGGTTCTGTGCATGGGCGTCGCAGTGGGCAACCTATCGATGGAGGAGAAGCAGATCCAGCAAAACATCCAGATGAGCGTCAACTTCCTGGTTTCGTTGCTGAAGAAGAACTGGCAGAACGTGAGTCCTGTTTTACTTTTACCCTCCCTCTGTTTGGTTGCATCTTCTGGATTTGCTGCTCCAACACAAGTTGACTTGGCTTGGCTGTGATGTTTATTTTTGCAGGTACGGTGCCTGTACATCAAGAGCACGATGGGGAAGCCAAACATAGTGTTCTAAATTATTGTGCTCCTGGCTTGATACTGTAGTGGAGTTTGTTATGGGATATAAGTTTACCGTAGTGGAGTTTGTTATGGGATATAATATTAGTAGTGGAAGTTTTTGTCTCTATTATTCAAGTGCACAAGATAGAACTGCTTTGCCAATCTCTTAATTGATAGTGTTTTTACATTCCACCAGAGCTGATAAATCAGTGTGGTTCAGCCTGCGCGGCTGGTTTTTATGCTCCTACTAGTGATGCTGTGCTCTGTGTACGCTAATGCTCTGAGTTTATGCACGATGCATGTTGATCTGTGCTCTGTGTACGCTAATGCTCTGAGTTTATGCAAGCACGATGCATGTTGATCTGATGCCGTGGTGCCATGCTCTTATTCCTGAAAAGTTCAAAGAACACCTATCGTAGTATGATTATTATCGTAGTGTTGTCTATCTATTGGAAAATATACCTAGTACTACTATTATCATCGTAGTGTTGTCTATTGGAAAACATACTGAATCTGTTTGCTCTTTGCTCAGGTTACGAGCCATACATCGTGATTTTGATCTCACATGGCCCGTTCGCTTCGCTGAAAAAATAGGCTGAAACACTGTTTCGGCTGATTTGTTGTTAGAGAAAAACACTGTTCCGACTAAAAAAAAAAGCTAAAACGTACGGATTATAAGACAAGCGAAGAGGGCCACAACCTCAGCTCACAAGAGAAGACAGAAGAGATTGTTCATGGGAAGGAAAAAGTCCATTTTGTCTTTCCAACTTTCGCAAAAGTCTGATTTTCCTCCCTCAACTCTAAAACAGAAATAGTTCCTCCCTTATCGCCCAAAACCGGTCACTTGACCTCCAAGGCTGTTTCTCTATGTGGTTTTTTTTTTTTTTGCTTTTATGTTTATTTCGGCTGAATCTTTGAAAAATCATAATAAATCATAGGAAAATCAAAAAATGGAAAATCCAATTGTGTTGGACTCCACGTGAGACCTACATAGTAAACATATAATATAATATGCTTTAGTACAACGTTTTTGTTGTAACTCTAGATCAATGTTTTTCTGTAATAAATTCACAGATGCAGTATCTCTAGTCCAATTATGGGGAAATTTTTATAGTGGATTAATCATTGCATGGTTGAGTTGTAGTAAAAAATTTATACTCATTGGATCATGTATGATTGATTTATAGATTTATCTAGGTTTATGTTTGTTAAATAGTTTTTCAATGAAATTAAATCTATAACTCAATCATACATGATCCAATAAGCATAAAAATTTTGGACTCCGTGAGTAGATCTACGTAGTAAATATATGATACGGTATGCTTTAGTATACTTTTTCTGTAATTAATTTTTTTTGTGAATTTCTATAATTAATTTATAGTTGCAGTTTCTATGGTCTAATTGTGGTGAAACTTTTATGGTGGGATAATCATTGAGTGTCTGAGATGTAGCAAAAATTTCATGCTCACTAGATCATGTATAGCTAAGTTATAATTTTATCTAGATAAAACTACATAAATCTATAACTCAGTTATATATGATCCAATGAGTATGAAATTTTTACTACACCTCAAGCGTGCAATGGTTAATCCACCAAAAACAATTGACCACAATTGGACCAGAGAAATTGCAACTATGAATTAGTACAGCAAAAACTTTGTACTAAAGCATAACTTCATGTGTTCACTATGTAGATTTACTTATGTGAGTCCAACACAATTGGATTTTCCATTTTATGATTTTTCTGTAATTTCATATGATTTTTTAAAGATTCATCCAAAATAAATATAAAAAAACCACCGAGAAAAACAGACTTAGGAGGAACTATTTCTGATTTTAGAGTGGAGGGAGAAAAATCAGACTTTTGTGAAAGTTTAGAGGAGGCGAAGTAGACTTTTTACTCACGGGAACGCATTTACGCACACGAGGCCCATTCCGAAGGCGAAAGATAGGCCCAGCCCAGTTGTATAAGCAGTCTCATCCGAAGGCGAAAGATAGGCCCAGGTCAGTTGTATAAGCAGCCTCAGCTTGTAACACAAACCCACGCCACTCTAGCTACCGGGCGAGCCAGCAATGTCGCCTGCGCGGCCTCCTCCGACCTCCCCTCGCCTCCGCGCCCTCCCCCGCGACGGAGTCCTCCCGTCCTTCGATGCCGGTCGATTCCCCAGTATCCCTGGACGCCTTAGTCTCCGCTCCTGCGCCCGCGCCGGCCGCGTCTACTGCCTCTTCTCCGGCGGTGATAGCCGCAAGAAACAGGTGCGCGCAACGCAGCATGCATCTCTTGATTGATTAGCCCCGCGAATTCGGGGTTCGTTGGTAGTTTGGTTTATCTCATTACCTGGGATGATTTTTCGTGGATTCCCGTCTTTATATGTGACGACGATGAGGTTGAGTTTGTTTGTCTCTGGGATTGAACACATTACGCTGAAGATAATGGGACCGATTAAATTTGTTTAAACTATTCGATATTCAAACGAACACCACCTGTGGTAGTGTTTGGGGGGGCGGGGCGGGGGCGGGGGCGGGTCAGGAGGATTTTTCTATAAGAAACCCCTTGTTTTAAATCTTTATGGTGATGTATATAATGCCGAATGCTGTAATGTAAGCAGATAGTGACCGAATCAAGTTTGATATATTGCAGTATTTAGGCCCTGTTCGGATCCTCCGGATGTTGAAAATCCAGATATAAAAAATCCCACAATCCTAGATTCTCATCCAAACGGTCTAGATTTTTTAGGGATTTTAACTCAGATTTTTAGAATCTCGAAATCCAATAAAACTATTGGGATTCTTTTTATCCACATTCTCAAAATCCCTTAGGATCCAAGCGGCACCTTAATCTGCTACTAGTGTCATTTCCTCCGTCTTTACCCATTGCAACGAATGTTTAAGACAACCCCGTTGTTGCAAAATTTTACATTTTCTTGGAATCAGGTCTTCTGGCATGTGATGCTGATTTTCTTTATAAGAAAAAACTGGCACTGTTACATGCAAGACAGTATTGAACTAGATACCATTGCTGATTTATGAGAGAATCCAAAAATATGCAAAATATTGGCTAAATTGAACACAAGCTTCCTTTTTTAGGAAGTCGGGAGGGGAGGCCCCTACCTAATTTGCATTAATATGAAAAATAAACTGTACATATGCAATGTCAAGGGGGCAAAGAAAAGAGAAGAACAACAGAAAAATAGAGGAGAAGAAAAAGAAGTCAAAGAGAGAGGAAAAGAAAATAAAAACAAAAAGTAAAGATAAAAGGAGAAGAAGGAACAAGATACAATCTAAAATCAGCTTGATCATCTCAGTCTGAAGTTGTTTCTGAACTTCCAGCTGTTTGTTCCCAATTCTGTGTCCATGCTTTGATAGCTATCCTCCTTGCTTCTTTCTTGGTTCAATGTTTCCAGAGTTCTAATGTTTGTACAGAGTTATTTTTTATTGCTGAACATGAGGTTGCCAAATATTCCAGGCCACTGCTATTATTGCCGTTGCAAGTTCAGAGCCTGGTTTATGTGTGTGATTTTGCTCTAGAGTCAATAAAGATGTAGCCATGTTTGTCCCTTGATTTAGTGTCAGACTCAGACCTACTGCTGTCCATACCCAACTTGCATGAGGGCATGTGAAAAGCATATGTTCAACATTGTCTTCTGCATTGCAGCCATAAGGGCAGAACACAAGCTTCCTCACAGAACGAAGCTATGAAAGTGCTGGGAATTCCTACTACATTGCTTCTTATGGGGATATAGATAATGCTGAATGATGTAAAACATCCACATAGTAATAGAATCAATTTTGATGAGAAAACTTTTTCTAATTGTTAATTTCCCCTTTGTTCACTGATCTTCGGAATTTGGATAACCCTGCTGTAGCAAAACTGTAAAGCGCAAGGATTTAGTAGTCCCTTTCCATCTTGTAGTATTTTATTTTGTAAATAAAAAGGCACTATTACTTATCAGACCAAGTAGTCTACAGGATTAAATTACTATTTTCCTTACAGGATGAAGCTAGAAAAGCACTGGAAAATGCCCTGGGGAAGAAGAAGGCTGAGTTTGACAAATGGGGTGTGGAAATTGAAAGGAGGAGGCAAAGGGGCCAGCCTGGAGGTCCTGCTGCTGGTGGTGGAGGATGGTCAGGAGGAGGCGGGTGGTTTAGGCGGCTTATGGGTGGAGGTTTCTGGGATGCAGCAAAACAAACTGCTTTTACAATCCTTGGCATTATCGGAGCGGTAAAACAAAATAACCTTGTTACATTGTTTGAGCTCCCAGCCTAATGTCTGCTAAGTATATGCTCAATTTGTGTTGCAGTTTTTCCTGATTGCAAACTTCAATGTACTGGTGGCTGCTGTTATCAATTCGTTGTTGCTTGTGCTGCGGCAAATACGGCGCATACTCTCCTTCATAGCTCTCTGTGTTTCCCAGTGCGCATTGGTTGAAAAGTCTGGACCAAAGTCAAGTACCCTTGTAAGTAGCAATGTGGCTGGAGTGCCTGCAAAAGAAAGAGCTGGAATGTCTGCGAAAGAAAGAGTTGTTAGGAAATGGGGAATGGACTGAAGTAGAGCACAGTTATATTTTGTGAGCTGCTCTGACAACAATTTCTATGAAAATATGACCTTTTAAATGAAGGTAACTGAACATTTTGAAAGAACTTTTAGGGTGAATCTAATAAGATCTATCTTACATTGTCAATATACGTTACTCTCTTTTGAAGGCATCTCCTGATTGTCTAGGCGGACCCAGCTCGCCTTGGGGGTGTCTAGTTATGCCTTGCCATGTAGGTGTCACCTACCCATTTCGCCTTGGGTCATCTCATGTAGTCACCTTTTTTTTTCTCGAACACAGGAGCTTTCATTAAGGTAGAAAAATACTACACGGGTCTAAGAGACCTAACTGACACACCCCATACCCTGGACACTAAGTCACAGATTCGTCACAGAAAGAACACAAACGACCAAATGCCTCCGAGCTTTAAGCTCCAACAGGCAGCGTTTATATGTTGCCTTTGAAACCATGATGCAAGTTTCTATATGTTGATGATGATCAAAGTTGAAAAAGTTTGACCGAAAGGATTCCTAAAACATGTATCTGAATCAGACGGAGTATAGTCTTGTCCAGAATTTTACTGACATTGTACTGATGATGTTTGCCAAATTGTTTGAGATGAAGACCGCAGCAGCTCAATTGTTCAGAGTTCTTATTAGTGTTTGTGAATTGTAACTTGGTCATTTCGCAGTTTTCTTGTAGCCTATGATCGATTCGATCTCTGAACATGAGATAATTTTTTTTGGTATCAGCGTTGCCCACTCAATTTGAAGTACGACGTGTGATTATTCGTGTTTTTAAATTATTTTACGTGTAGCTTTTCTGATTCATTCTGTAAGCTCTACGCACTGTAATCCTGGCTCTTTCAAAGCCAAATATTTACCCTTTATTTTTCTGAGTTCTGGGTCATCCATAATCGTCACCAAGGTTCAAGCTAGTAGTTTCTGAATTTGAATTGTAGGCAGCTTTTGCGGATGGTTTTGAACAGTTACAATAATGTTTTGTTTATAAAAAATGTAAGGCAAATTTTGCTATTGGACATGTCAAATGACGCGTCTTTGCTGGCGGACACTGCGTTTTACATCTTTTGTCGTGAGACACTCTGGTTTTTGGAAATACTGCCAGTGGGCACCGCAACCCAGTTGCACCCGGTTTTAGAGAGAGAAAACTTCGCTTTGGACATCGGGTGCCCCTGAACCAGACTTGGCGCCGTCTCAACCTGGTCTGGTTCGACCCAGTTGTAACGATCGGCCCGCACCCGACTCCGTCGTTACAACGGTCTGTTCCTCGTTCCCCCTCTTCACCGCAGAGGCTGCGGCGGCCGGTCGGGCGGGGGTGCCGGCGCGGCGTAGGTTGGCGGGCGTCGTCGACAGGAGAGCGGGCCTATAGAAGATGGCTACAGGATCTGGCGCTTCTTCGTCGACTGGGTCACGTGGAGCGAGAGAGGGGCAGACGTTGTGCCCTTTCTGCCACACGGCGACGGTCGTGGAGCGGACGTCGAGAACCACAAAAAATCCAGACAAGCCGTTCTACACTTGCAAGAATCGTGACTGGGTGAGTTTTCTTGATTTTGTTCTTGCTACATTTGGGCGTTTTGAAATCGGATGTAGGGTTCATCCTATTGATTTGGCTTTCGCTATGAAATAGGGCAACGGTACCTACAACTTCTTCATGTGGAAGCCAGAGAGCGCTGGAGATGGCATGGATGGTGCAGCAGTGATGGCTGCGTTGAAGGCTCTGGAGAATTCTCTGTTGAACTTGAGCAATGTTGTAGTTGCTCAGATCACTGTTGTGGCTAGAATAGCTGGAGAGCAAATAGTTGTTAGGATGATGGTTGGGGCCCGTGTGTTTGTAGGTGTTGTTTGCTTTCTTGCTTTGTGCATGGTATTGTACAAGCAAGCATGAAGTATGATTTGTAATGTTTGTGAAATATGAATGAAATGCAATTTGAATGGAGTAACTTCAACTTGATTTGTTCCCTTTTTTAGTTGTAAAGTTAAAATTGCAGCATCACTACTTTCAACTTAACAGCTGACTTAATTTTAGCATGACAAACACAGGCATACCAGATCATTAATTATGGAACATCATACCAGATGGCAATATCAAGTTCACACCAACAATAGCCAGGTTCACTACATTACCAGATTACAATACCAGGTTCACACCAACAATATCCAGGCTCAAAAGCACACAGATTACAATAGCAAGTTCATAGAACCACACAAAAGCACACCAACCATTGGGCCACTCTTGTGAATGTTGTACTTCAGATTTCTGTTTTTGTTGTGCAGCTCCTTCATGACAGCTGGCAGAATCTTGAAGGCAGAAAACTTGGACAGCAGTTGCATCCTGGTGCAAAATCTCTCCATGATCAACTGCCTTATCTTGTCCATTAGCTCTACAAGGACCTGGTCCCTTGGAGGTTGTCCTGCAGCCACCTAGTTGCCTTGGGGCATGCCTTATGCATCTCATTCCAGTGCCTATCATGGGTTGTCTGTCTATAGCACCTTGATGCAGGCCATAAGTTCCTCTCAAACACTTCTCCCCTAAACCTCTTCTGGAAATTCTTGACTAAATGCCTCATGCATTCTCTGTGCTCCACCCCATTACTGAAAACTTTGGTAACAGCCTTGTCTATTTGTCGGTGTTTCGGACCGGGGGGTCCTCAACCAACTAGTAAATTTGTACTGCGTGCCCCTAATCCCGGATGGTGATGCAAAGAGACACAAGGTTTATACTAGTTCAGGCAATCAGTGCCCTACGTCCAGTCTAGGAGATCGATCTTGTATTCCTTGCACCGGAAGTGCTCGTAGTATGGGGTTACAAGCAGGGCGAGAGAGGGTGCTAGCCTCAAGTCTCTATGATGAACGAGACGAATTGCTCGAGACACTGATCTAAGTGTGGGTACTACGGCCTGTGTTCGTCTTCCTCGTGAGTTCGTATGTGCCTAAGTGTGTTCCAGTTCAGGCCCGTGTGTCTCGTCCCAAGAAACAGACCCAGTCCCTCCCTTTTATAGTAGAAGGGGGGATGGGGGTGATACATGCGCTAGTTACGTGGCGCCGTGTGAACAGAGGCGGCCTGTCCGAGCCCTGTAGCCTGTTGCTGTGGCGGAACAATCGATGGAGTGGTTCTGCCTTTGAAGTGTCGGAGCAGCGCGCCGGTCACATCCGATCCTGTACGATGTAATAGCCTGTCGTAGGGCCTGACGAGCGACATGCCGGTCGTAGTGCGTTGTCCGCACGAAGTGTCGAGGCTTAGCCGGTGTCGAGGCCGAGCCATCGTGGGGGGGCTCGGCAGGTGTGAAGACCAAGGTTGTCGAGACCCTGAGGTAAATTGTCGAGGCGTGGGTGGAGCGGCTGACCCTGCACACTGATTCTGAGGCTACAGGGATCCGAGCTTAACTCCCCACGCCGCGTTGTCCTCGGAGTAGTTAGAGTTAGGTAGCACAGTGCGGTATGGACATTTAGTCGTGGGCACAGTGCTGCGCACGGTGGCCGGTAACTCCTGCCTTGTCTTGTTTCGGGCGGCATGGTGCCGATGTGATTTGTGTCTCGTCGGCCACTCCTAGCTGTCATCCGGATGATGTCGTGGGAGTGGTTGGTCGAGGTGGAGGTGATAGGGTGGTTTGCCGAGCCCGTCTTGAACGAGGTGGAGCGTTGGTAACTCGCTCGAGGCCTTTTGGGTGGGGTCTCGGGCGAGTTGGAGAATCGGTTTCCTGTCCGAGGCCTCTGAGGCCACTGGCGAGGCGGAGAGCTAGTTATCCATCCGAGGCCTTGGACGTGCCTTGCGTCGGCGGTCAGCGTCGTACTCAGTTTAGGTGGAATAGTGCGGGATGTGTGTCCACAGGGCACGGTAACCCCTGCACCGTTAGTAAGGGATGGTAAAAAGGAGATTTGACCGTTGTCCTATCGCCCCTGTTGCTGTACCCTGCCGGTCGTGGCTAACGCAGCGGGTGCTCGTCAGGGGCATTAAATGGATGGGACAGCCTGCTAGAGGGACGGTCAAGGCGGAGGCGACGAGGACACGGGACGAGCCCGGCCTCGGGCAAGGTGGAGCGGGATTGGGACCTCCGAGACCCTGACCGGGGGCCTCGGGTGAGTTGGAGATTTGGTCCGAGACCAGATTCAGTCAAGCCAGCCTCGGACGTCACCGTGAACTGTTGACTAAGGAGGCCTTATGGGGGTTTTATGAGTTTTTCCGGCTTTTGCTTAGGGTACTCCCTTTTTACGGTACCCGACAGTAGCCCCCGAGCCTCTAGGAGAGTGTGTGCGCTCTCTCGGAGGTTTGAGACTCGTCTTGCGGTGGCTCTCGTCGAGATTTGCGTTTCGTACTCGAGGCCTCGGTGGGTGCGCGCAAGCGCACCCGCCGGGTGTAGCCCCCGAGGTCCTGGATGAGTGGATTTGACTCCTCCAGGGGCTTTCCTTACGTCCTACGACGGATTTTTATTGCGCTAGCCGAGCCCATGAATGCGAGTTCGGGTTGCTGAGCCTCGGTTTAGTTGTAGGAAGAACCCCCGAGCCTCTGCTCGGAGCAAGAGAACTACCAGGGGTTTCCCTGTCTTCTTGCATGGCCCTCACGCACCCGTTCCGTTCGGAAGGAGGGGTTTGCTTTGCCGAGGCCCCTCGAGTGCGAGCCTGGGTCGCTGGGTCTCGGCAAAGTTGTAGGGAGAGCCCCTTAGCCTCTACGAGAGGTCCGTCAGGGGTTCCCCTGGCTTTTTTATGCGACCCTCGCGCTTCCTTTTCATTCGGAAGGAGGGGTGGAATATGTCAGGCTACCCTCGATGGGCGCGAGCGATGGCATTTCCGGTGAGCTATTATCGGGTAAGTCCGAGTGGAGGCCCGAACCCCATTCGTTAGGGGTTGGCTAGCGGTCCATGGACACACTCCAAGAGTACCAGAGGGTTTCTCTAGTGGGTGCCGGGGCCGTTCGCTAAGCCCTAGTGGCTCGGTACCTCCCTACGGTGGGATCCCATTCGGAGACCTCCCTGCTGGTCTCGGACATGACTTAGA